CCAGGATGGTCTCGATCTCTTGACCTCGTGATCCACCCGCCTCGGCCTCCCAAAGTGCTGGGATTACAGGCTTGAGCCACCACGCCCGGCCATGGTGTGCAGAATTTAAGGAGGTGTCCAAAAACTTAGTAATCAAGATAAATATTTTGATGCAATCTTTTCAAAAATAAAAAATTAACAGAAAAATCATGATAAGGAGAGGACCTATAAAAACCTTCATTGAGCTATAAGGTGAGTACTATGCAGTCATTAAAAAAATATAATGATGATGACGATGATAATAAAGCTGCCATTTATTTTCACCAAGGCCATCACTGGCTAACAACTTCCTAACTTATAGGATGAGTTATAGTATTTTATCTGAATCTGCAGTCCCTTAAAATTATAAAGATACTTATTTTAAACATCCAATAGATTACTTTTTAAAGCAATCATAAGCCATGACTCAGACCACCAATGCCAAAAATTATACAACAAATAAGAATTTATCGTGTAATACGTTTTGTTTAAAAAAGTTTTATAAAAAACAGTTCTGTTGCTTTAATGGAATTTCCCCTTCTGTATCTAAATACATCTTCTCTCTCCCTCAAACAAGCAAAAAAAATTGTTTATTTTTAAATTCAATTCAGTACAAGTTTATATGTTAAAAATATCAAATAATCTCTTGATTGAAGATTTTTCTTCTTTCAAAGTATGTAAAGATGAATGAACATGGTGTTCACTTCTTAACTTTTTCTGATTTTATTTTTCCTGATTCTACAAAAAAAATTACAAAGAACATATTACAGATCTTCTGAAATGAAAGTCTAATTTTAAGCTTTGATGCTTAAATGGAAACTAAACTATTTTTCCAGGACAGAGATTAATGTTCAAATCAACTCTGGGAAATGTATAGACTATCCCCAGCGTGAAATGAACATCAGATCATGCCAGTAGGAATGCAATCCATGACCGTATATCAAGGAAAGAAGGGCTCATACTGATTATTTACAGTCCTACAAAACTAAACTTCAAGATGCAATGTGATTTGCATGTGACATGAAACGTCATATAAAAACATAAAATAATGCAGAACAAAATACGGAAACAAATTCAAGAGATAAAAGCAGGTTGATGAGTGTCGCTACTTATGTTGAGGGAAATTAATTTACACATCCATGTTTTGATATTAAAAAGTCTTCATTTTTTTCTTCAGGATTTGAAGAGTTAACTCCTTGTGACTCGGTACATTAATACACTAGTGTATTGTGCTATAAATACGTTTTTATAACTGTTACAATCTAAACTATAATCAGAAAGGTTATTTTATTTACTTATAAATTATCAAATAACTATTCAGATTTTTGGAAGACATCTAAAGGGAAAAAGTATTAAGGAATATAAATATTGAATTGCAATACAACTAATTAGGTAAGCTGATGAGTTTTTCACAGTTTAAAATGTTGAGCCATTCGGTCATAGTCATTGTAAAGACTTTTTGCTCTAACGAGGACATTTTCAAAGCAAAACTTAGTAGAGCTCCATTATTCAACTTAAGGGCATTGAATGAGAAAATGCAGAATGTATTCAAAAAATGTTAAAGGGTTCTATCCAATTTTTTATAAGAATAAACAGAATACACAGAAAATTATCCCAAAAAATGTAAATGAAGAGACATTCATAAGGCTATTACAATTGACCATCCCTAAACTAAGAGAGAATTGTTCTGAGGATTGTATATTTTTAGCTTTTAATGTCATGCTAATTTATTCCAGATGCTACAATATTTCTCATAGAAAATACTAGATTCCTAAGGAAATAAACAAGGTGTTTAGGAAAAAGACATTGAATTTTATATTCTTTAATTTGTTTCTAATTCATTTTATACATTTAGAAAAAAATTATTGAATTCACAAATTCCATGTCACTTTGATGTTAATTTTATGCATAAGTAATGTTACAGGACACAAAATTCATAACAATTAAATAAAAAATAAATAAATGTAATGAATATTTAATTTGTAATATTCTTATTAATATTATACCAAGTATATTATTGGTACTACAAGAAAAAGTTAAATTGCTGAAAAAGTACATTGAAGGTTTGGCAATCAAATGTTTTCTTTTAAATATATTTCAAGTTTGAAATTGATTAGTGAGCCTCATATTTATTAACTACATATTGAAAATTGCCTCCTTTAAATACTTAGCACCAGGCAACCAGGACTAAGCTAAGAGTCTTAAGAAATGTAATGAGATTATGAATGTCAGTAGAAATTTTGTCATTAAAAGTTTATTTTCCTAATATAATACTCTTAAAAGCAATAACCACTATCAATGATTTATTTTCTTTTAGCCACTGCAGCAAAATATTTGGTTAATGTTCTCAGCCACTTTGTAAATCAAAAGTAAATATGTACATAGCAGTACATTTATCTCAATGCTGTTACTGTGATACCAATAACCACAGAAAATGAATTTTTTTTTCTCTAATATAATGAAATACCTGTCTTCTTTATAAGGTTTATTATTTGGGTGACTTTTTTAATGGCATCTGAGGCTTTACTCTGTTTTTTTAATGAATTAAATTATGTGTCCCAAACAAAATTATATTTGTTCAGGGACTAGTTGAAGCTGAATGGAAATTTTCTATATTCTGAAACATGAAGATAACTTAATACTCAGGATTTCAATCTATCTCTTGGAAACTTTTTGTAGTCTTTTTAGAATGAAAGTACCATAAGAATTATTACTTTAATATCTCAAAATTCTTTATAGCTGTTGCCCTAGCTTATCTTTAACAGAAGAAAAGGTTAATCAAACAATGCCATAATCAATAATGTAGCAGAAAGTGCATGTGTGAACTCTTGGTCCCTTTTATGTTATTTTGCTTTTCTCTCTGTCTGATGCCAGTTTTTTGTCTGACTTATTATGTGCACTTTTCTGTGTGCACTTACAGTAAATAGTGGTTGCTAAAATGTATAGATAATGATTGTCCCTCTACATTTAGATTGTAAATTCCAAACAGAAAGCTAAAGGTAGTTTACTAGCATTATTTCCTGAATCCTTTCTAACCTCTTTGGATTAAGGATAAGAAAGACTTTATCACAATAAAAGGGTTCCAATTTTTTTTCAAAACATAGATTGTGAGAGCTGGGTCTTCAATGATATTTGAGGATAATCAACATTTCATACATCTGCTGCCATCTTTTGAGAAGCAGTATTAGCCTCATAGTCAAGAGCGTGAGCTTTGCAGCAAGACCACCTAGGTTCAAGTCCTGGCTCTGTCACTTACTAGCTGATTGATTCAGGTAAATTCAATTCTCTGTCATTCAGTTGTCCTCATCTATCAAAGAGGAACAAATGATGATGACCTCATCATTCAATGGCCTGCCTCACTGAATCACTGTGGGAAATAAACGAGTTGAAACTGTGACCACCTTAAAACGGGGAATGTCTGGAATGTACTAAGCCATCTGTATGTGTTTATTGTTTTTTAAATAATTACATGCTCTTTGTGACTTTGCATTTAATCTTATCAGAGTGGCAGTTATATTATCCCAGTTTTGCAGATGCTGGGTATCATCACTCTGCTTTTGTTATCATTCATCTTTAATGTCTTATCACAGCAAAAGGCAACAACTAGGAACTCCAAATTTTCTTTCAGATTTTCCTCTTTCCCTTGCAACTGATCACCTGTTTCAATCTTATTGTGAAAAACTAGCAAGTAATGACTCATTTGTGCTTTTGCTTATTGCATGTCTAGGAACTGGCTTGGAGATAAGACGACCATGATTTATGATAAAAAATAAAAGTGCTTAACCCAGACATCTTATTAACAAATGTGGTTACTGTTAAGACAAGTAATACTTTTTTTCTGTTATTCACATGCCATGAAGAATTCCACTTCAGAATTAGGGTTTTTCAAGGCATGAAATATCTGACAGTAAATGGTCACAATAAAAAAAGTATACTCCCTTGTCAAATAATATTCCAGTATAATCTCTATTTGGAAAGTGTCAGACAGTAATGAAAGTTTCATGCATTAATTCATTCAGGAAATATTTAATGATTTCTCATTATTTGCCAGGGTAAAGTGGAATTCAAAGCAGATCTCATAGTAATGGTAAAACTTTATTATAATGTCTACGAGCAATTTTGTGAGCCCAGATTTAACCTTTTCATTGTCACTAAGGAGTCAACCTAAAAGTTTATGAAAATGACCTTCATTTTGTATTCAACCCTTACAAAGTTGTTATGGGGCTAAAGCAACAGCTATGACTCCTGATTTCTGCACCAAAAAGTAAGGCAGAACTTTTTGCCTTAGGACTGTCGGTTAGGAATAGGAATGGATACATAACGGGGCAGTATAAAGGTTCCTGGTCAACTTCACAGTCTGTCATCTTGTTGCTCCTGTTTTTAACATCTTCTGCAACCTGGTGAAACAGAACAGATCCTCAAAATCTACTCTTTTTTTCCCTCTAAGAAAATGTCCATGGAAAAGTGCTGGATATCTTGCAAGTCTGTTATCGCAATGCAAAATCACACCAGGTTCCTTTAAGAATCATAGCACATTCCCTCTCTTCCTGGACGAAATAAAGCCTGCCTTGAGAAGCAGTTCAAAACTGGAATTCTGCTTCTACAATGCTCAGTTACCCAGGCAGCTGAAGCCTTTGAACAGGTCTCAGAAAGTCCCTCAAACACGGTCTTTGGGGTCAAATGAGAACAGTCCTGTTAAGTCATACATTCATTCCTCTCTACAAACAGAAGTCTGGTATCTTCTCAGGGAACTAAGAGAAAAAAACAAAGATCCTCTTTTTTCCAGAAAAAATTTTTTTTTACAAAATTACACCATTATGGTTTGTTTTTACTTAGTCAAACTGTAAGGACAAAAATTTTTTAGGACTTCCATTGCTGGTTAAAATAATATTTTATTATAATATTAAGCAAATATGCAAAAACAGAAGTTAGGTTATGTATTTTAGATCATTTATAGCTCTAAAAACAAACACATTTAAAAATGTAATGTCGGTGTATATGTGCGGGCGAGAAGATAGCGGCGTGGGGGGAAGCGTGTGAGCAGCCGGAGGAGCGCCGAGTCCCATTCAAACGCGCCGCCATGGCCTCCACAGTCCGCAGTATATTTTTGGAGATTTTAGCCCTGATGAGTTCAATCAGCTCTTTGTGACGCCTCGATCTTCAGTTGAGCTTCCTCCATTTAGTGGAACAGTTCTGTGTGGCACAGATCAACTACCTGATGGACAAGAATATCAGAGAATTGAGTTTGGTGTCAGTGAAGTCATTGAACCCAGTGACACTTTGCCGAGAACCCCCAGCTACAGTATTTCAAGCACATTGAACCCTCAGGCCCCTGAATTTATTCTCGGTTGTACAACTTCCAAAACGACCCCTGATGGTGTCACTAAAGAAGCAAGCTACGGCTCCATTGACTCAGTACCCAGGCTCTGCCCTCGCTTTGGATGGAGGTTCTAATGTGGAGGTGGAAGTTTTGGAAAATGATGGTGTCTCAGGTGGTCTTGGACAAAGGGAACGTAAAAAGAAGAAAAAGCGGCCACCTGGATACTACAGCTATTTGAAAGATGGTGGTGATGATGATATTTCCACAGAGGCCCTGGTCAATGGCCATGCCAGTTCAGCAGTCCCGAAGACTGTCAGCACGGAGGATGCAGAATTCATGGGGGACATGCCCCCATCAGTGACGCCCAGGACTTGTAACAGCCCCCAGAACTCCACGGACTCTGTCAGTGACACTGCCTGACAGTCCTTTCCCCGGAGCACTTGGCAGTGACGCCAGGACTGCAGGGCAGTTGGAGGGGGGCCCTGGGGCTGATTTTGGTCAGTCCTCCTTCCCTGCAGAGGCTGGCAGAGACACCCTGTCAAGGACAGCTGGGGCTCAGCCCTGCGTTGGTACCGATACTACTGAAAACCTTGGAGTTGCTAATGGACAAATACTTGAATCTTCGGGCGAGGGCACAGCTGCCAACGGGGTGGAGCTACATACCACGGAAAGCGTAGACATGGACCGCATCAAACCTGAGAGTGCGTCGCCTCCCGCTGACGGCACGGGCTCTGCATCAGGCTCCCTTCCTGTCAGCCAGCCCAGGTCCTGGGCCCGTCTCTTTCATGATTCTAAGCCCTCTTCCTCCTCGCCGCTGGCCTATGTGGAAACTATGTATTCCCCTCCCGCCATATTTCCCCTGGTTTCTGAAAAGCAGGTTGAAGTGAAAGGGCTTGCTCCAGTTTCAGAGGATCCTGTAGCCATAAGGATTGCAGTGTTACTGGAGAATGTAACCCTGATCCATAAAGCAGCGTCACTGCAACCCCGCGGGCTGATCAGTAAAGGAAACTGGTTCTACATTGGCGCTACACTGCAGGCACTGCTGGCTTGCCCTCCCATGTATCACCTGATCAAGTTCATTCCTCTGTGTTCCAAAGCGCAAAGGTCTTGTACGTCGACCCCCGTGATAGACAGCTTTGTCCGGCTAATGAATGAGTTTACTAATACGCCGGTACCTCCGAAACCCCGACAAGCTCTTGGAGATAAAATGGCCAGGGATATTCGCCCTGGAGCTGCCTTTGAGCCCACGTATATTTACAGACTCCTGACGGTTCACAAGTCAAGCCTGTCTGAAAAGGGTCGACAAGAAGATGCTGAGGAATATTTAGGCTTCATTCTAAATGGACTCCACGAGGAAATGGTGAACCTGAAGAAGCGTCTCTCACCAAATAATGAAAAACTTACGATTTCCAATGGCCCCAAAAACCACTCGGTCCGTGAAGAAGAGCAGGAAGAACACGGGGAAGGAAGTGAGGACGAATGGAAGCAAGTGGGCCCCCGAACAAGACGTCCGTCACCCGCCAGGCGGATTTTGTTCAGACCCCAATCACCGGCACTTTTGGTGGACACATCAGGTCTGTCGTTTACCAGCAGAGTTCAAAAGAATCGGCCACTTTGCAGCCATTTTTCACGTTGCAGCTGGTTATCCAGTCTGACAAGATACGCACAGTCCGGGATGCACTGGAGAGCTTGGTGGCAAGAGAATCTGTCCAAGGTTATACCACAAAAAACCAACAAGAGGCTGAGATAAGTCGAAGAGTGACTCTGGAAAAGCTCCCTCCTGTTCTCGTGCTACACCTGAAACGGTTTGTTTACGAGAAGACTGGTGGATGACAGAAGCTCATCAAAAATATTGAAAATCCTGTGGACTTGGAGATTAGTAAAGAACTACTTTCTGCAGGGGTTAAAATAAGAATTTTAAATGCCACGGAACCTATCGGCTCTTTGCAGTAGTGGTCTACCATCATGGCAGCAGCGCGACAGGCGGGCATTACACTTCAGACGTCTTCCAGATCGGTCTGAATGGCTGGCTGCGCATGGATGACCAGACAGTCAAGGTGATCAACCAGTACCAGGTGGTGAGACCCACTGCTGAACGCACACCCTACCTCCTGTATTACCGCCCAGTGGACCTGCTGTAGACCCCCTGTGCGCCGTGTGTGCCCCATGCCTGCTTCCTAGGACACCAACTCACACTAACTTCCTGCCTCTCTCTCTCTTTTTTTTTTTTTTTGAGACGGAGTTTCGCTCTTGTTACCCAGGCTGGAGTGCAATGGCGGGATCTCGGCTCACCGCAACCTCCGCCTCCTGGGTTCAGGCAATTCTCCTGACTCAGCCTCCTGAGTAGCTGGGATTACAGGCACGCACCACCGTGCCCAGCTAATTTTTTGTATTTTTAGTTGAGACGGGGTTTCACCATGTTGACCAGGATGGTCTCGATCTGTTGACCTCGTGATCCACCCGCCTCGGCCTCCCAAAGTGCTGGGATTACAGGCTTGAGCCACCGCGCCCGGCCCCCGCCTCTCTTTAGTGGCTCTTTAGAGAGAAACTCTTTCTCCCTTTTGCGAAAACTGGCTAGAATGCAAAGGAGATGCCTTGGGGTTCGCGCCCGGCGTGGTTTATGTTGACCTTTCACTTCCAAATCAGAATCATTTGGTTGAAATACACCGTCGCTTGATTTTAGAAAATACACAAACTCCCCTATTTCTGAAATAGTGCTGATTCCTGAAGAAGGTGGAAGTCGCATTTGATTCGCAGTCTCATTGCTTACTAGAAGAAATCCTGCACCAGCAACACTTGTAAATTTGTGAAAATGAATTTTATCTTTCCTTAAAACAGATTTTTTAATCCATCACACTTTTCTTCCCCTGCCCTTTAGTTTTTGATAAATGAGAAAAATGAGCCAGTTATCAAAGAAGAACTAGTTCTTATTTCAGAAGAAAAATAAACATAAAAAATAAGTTGCGGTTCCTAACAGTGAAAATTTGTAATAATTGTGTGGAGAGAAACAGCTTATATACTGATGAGATATTTGGAGTTAAAATGTTAGTCTACATCGATGGGTGATTGTACCTTTATTGCCATTAAAAGATTACAAATCGCATTCATGTTTCTGTGTACACGTAATGAAAACGGGCAATTAATGAAGATTGGTCTCTCCTTCAGCCTCCGTTTAATTCTGCTGTCTGCTCTTCCCTAATGCTGTGCCCCTAATTGTACACAGTTTAGTGATACCTAGGAGTATAAAGTTGTCACCCATCAATACAAATCACAAAGTTGGTTTAAAAAAAAAAGTAATGCCAACAAAAAATTAAGCAGATGACATTACTTTAATGTGATAAGTCATATTTTTCTTAATCAAAATCCACTGCCCACAGTGTAAACATATGCTGATGTTATGATGGAGAAATTTCTGGATTAGCATCCCCAAATTATTATGTACTAGGTGATGAATTTATACTTCTGTATCTACCCTCTATGTAAACTAGAGTTCTCAAGTCAGGCTGCCTTAGTTCAAATCCCAAAGCTGCCACTTCCTATGTTCTGAATGTATGATGATAAGCAAATTACTTAACATCTCTGTGCCTCAGTTTCCACATCTATAAAATAGTCATATTAATAATAACACCTACTTCCTAGGGCTCTTGTGAAGCTTATGGGGGTTAAGTGTAAGGTACCTGGTATACAGTAAGTACTCAAGTAATATTAATTATTACCATTTATTACCTTGAGCTCTGCCTCATAAGTCTACAAAGACTCAAGCCTCAGTTCAATAGGCATCGCAGACAATGGGTAGTGGAATTTCAAATTTCTCAGGAAAAAAGGAACTAACCCAAACCAGGTTTCTTACATAAAGCCACTGGCCTGGTTTGCATACACAAGAATAAAGGCCAGTTACCACAAGAAACAAGCTGCTTTTTTTTAGAAAACAGATGAGGACACATCCACCACCAGACCCTGCTCACGAACTGGGACTCAGATTGCAATTTCCCAATATGGAAGCCACATAAGTAAACCTGCTTCTGAATTAGGGTCACCTGCACCATCAGTTTTCTTTCTACTGAATTATTTCCATTCACATAAAAATATTCTTAATATTTTTTTTCCTTACACCCAAAAGGCCAAACAATTTTTATTTTCAAAAACAACTTTATTCATGACACATATTAAAAAAAAATTCCCACCCCTGGAAATGAGCTAAAAAAAAAAACAAAATCCACCTCCCACCTCCCTGTTCCCACTTCCTCCCATTCCCTCCAACTAAAAGGGAAAAAAGGCAAAGGAAAACAAAACAAAACAAAACAAAACAAAACTGAAAAACAAAAACAACCCTAAACCCCCCAAAATAAGGTAGTGCATTTCCCCAGGGGGAAGGGGAATGTACACTGGAGCCGCTGGGAGCTGAACGGAGATCTTCAGGCTACAGAAACTTGCCAAGAAAGACACTCAAAACCGAAAAAGAAACACAAAAGGAAACAAAACAGATCACCAGGCAACCTGGAGGGGCAGGGAGTGGGAGAAGAGGGGTGGGGTGGGTGGTAGACCTGGCTGGACTGGAGCAGGCAGGAGGGGACTATGTAAGGCGAGAAGACCGAGGGAAGGTAACAAGCAGAACAGTTTGGTGTCCTTCCAGAGCCCTGGGTAAAAAAAAAAACCTCCTACCACCCACACCCACCTACCCTTGAGCAGCCCCCAAGGGGGTGAAGTGGGGCAGGGAAACATGGGGAGCAGCTTGCGCAGTTGAGACGTGTCCATGGCGAATCCCCAGAGTGAATAAGCAGCCCCCTGCCCCACTCCCTGGGCCTTCCCCTACTCCCCAAAGCAGGTATATTCTTAATATTTCATCTATAATGTGTCATTTATTGGAGTAAAGTGTATGTAACGTAAAATTGACCATATTACCATTTTAACCCTTTTAACCATTTTTAGATGTATAATTCTGTGGCGTTAAGCACATTCCCGCTGTTGTACAATCATCATCATCCATTTTGGTTTTCATCTTCCCAACCCAAAACCGAAGGCCCTTTAAACACTAACTCCTCATTCCCTCCTTTCCCAGTCCCTGGCAACCACCATGCTACTTTCCATCTCTATGAATTTGACCTTTCTAAGAATCTCATATAAATGGAATCATACAATATCTGTCCCTTATGTTTTTTAAAGAAAATGCCTTCCCTTGACCCCATATCTCCTTCCTATCATAGCCCTATTTTTCTGGTCTTCACTAGAATAAAACTTTTAGAAAACGCTGCTTGTACTTGGCTCTACTTTCTCCCTTCTCATTGTCTCTCAAAGTCACTCTAAAGGGACTTTCATCCCTAATATTTGTCAAATATTGACAAAGCCAATGATCAATGCTTTGTCCTTGTATTACCTAACCCAACCCATCAGTAACATTTGAAATGTCTGATCACTGTCTCCTCCTAGAAACACTCTCCAGGCCTCCTGGACTGTAAACTTGCCTGATCCTCTTTCTACCTCACGGCTGCTCTTAGAGGCCTTTTTTGTTGGCTTCTCCCCCAGCTACCAGATCTCTAAAGGTCAGAGTGCCCGAGGGCGCTGTCCTTGATTCTCTTCTCTTTTCCAGGCACACAGCGCTACAGCGCTACTCAAAGTCTTGGTCTGCATACCAGTGTCAGTCCATTAAGTGTTTGTTACCAGCTTGCAGTGACAGAGATACAGAAACTAAGACTTTAGAAAGTTATAATCGCAACTTTTTTTTTTTTTTTTTTTTTTTTTTTGAGACGGAGTTTCGCTCTTGTTACCCAGGCTGGAGTGCAATGGCGCGATCTCGGCTCACCACAACCTCCACCTCCTGGGTTCAGACAATTCTCCTGCCTCAGCCTCCCGAGTAGCTGGGATTACAGGCACGCGCCACCATGCCCAGCTAATTTTTTGTATTTTAGTAGAGACGGGGTTTCACCATGTTGACCAGGTTGGTCTCGATCTCTCGACCTCGTGATCCACCCGCCTCGGCCTCCCAAAGTGCTGGGATTACAGGCGTGAGCCACCGTGCCCGGCCTCTATAATCGCAACTTGATAGCATATGTTTATACTGTTGTATCTAAGAATAAAAAAATTAGGCTTGAATTTGGATATCGTTGTCTTTTTAATAGTTTATATTTCATTTTTATAGTGATTTATACCGTTGTCTTTTACAAAGTATTGGTCTGTCTCAGATTGGATTAGGAAAATACAACTGGTCCTTCCCCACTTTTGAGAAACACTGATCCACATTCTTTCCTACGTGATCTCATCTAGGCCCATAGTTTTAATAATATTTCTATGCTGATCATTCTCCTAATTCATGTTACCATCTCTGACCTCTTCTATAAGCTCCAGAGTCGGATATCCAACTGCCTTAAATCTCCACTTGGATCTTAAAATCTCCACTTGGATGTCTAGTGGGCATACAAACCTTACCATGGCCAAAACAGAACTATTAAATAAACAACAACAAAAAAACAGTCAAACCATAAAAACAGAAAATTCTTTGAAAAGTCTTATAGAATAATCTGCACTAAATCACAACAGGGAAAAAGAGAAGGCAAAATCAGCAATAGGAGAACATAGGGGCTGGTAACTATATGTTGGTAGAGATTTAAAAACATGAGTGCACTGAACAAGTTTACTAAAATAAATTTGGAAAATGAAATATACAAATGCCTAAAAAACATAATTACCATAATCAACTCAAAAATGGAAAGAAATAGAAAACCTGAACACACCAATAGCCATTAGAAAAACTAAAAAGTCATTCAAAAATCTGCTCCTAACCCACACCAAAAGGGTATAGGGCCTAGACAATTTTACAAATGAATCTAACCAAACTCAAGAAATAGATATTTCATAAATTATAATTTATAATTGTCATGTCTTCCTGGTCATTTGGCATTTATTATTATATAATGTCAAAAACCATCGCAAGAGATGTAGTAAGACATTATTTAATAATAAAAGGGTCAATTGACCAAGGAAGATATGACAATTATAAATACATCCTCTGTGGAGAAATAGGAACACTTTTACACTGTTGGTGTAAGTGTAAATTAGTTCAACCATTGTGGAAGACAGTGTGGCAATTCCTCAGGGACCTAGAAATAGAAATTCCATTTGACCCAGTAATCCCATTACTGGGTATATATCCAAAGGATTATAAATCATTCTACTATAAGGACACATGCACAAAAATGTTCATT